CAGTTTTCCCAGTGGTAAAATAAGAGAAAGGTTACTTGTTCCCACCTACTCCATGCAGCTGCTAGGAGGGTAAAAACGACTATGAAGGTGCGAAGTATGCTTTGACAAAGTGAACCCCCTTTTCTAAACTGGAATGGGGGGATCAGAATGCCATGTGGTTACTTAACAGCTGCCCTCCTACACGTGCCTCCAGCATCATGAGGGTGCAGACCTGTACCCTACAGGAAAGTCCTGCAGCATCACATTTCCTCCGCCCCTGGTGACACGGAGTCACCCTGCAACCCACCCAGCAGTTACTGTGACCATGTTTCTCCTGCTGTGACATGCGCACTCCACACTGTCTATAGACCCAATGTTTCCCAGCTGGGGGCCACCTCCCAGGCCCACTCACCTGACAAAACCGTGGGTGCTGCACCCCTGGCCTGATGTCCTACCTTAGGATTCTGTTCCCTGTTAAGAGACCTTCTCTCTGCCCCTGTGGGACTGGAGGTGGCACAGTTCCTCATGGTGGGCACTGAGTCACACTGGCGAGCTTTGGAGGGAGGCTGGGGGAAGCCAAAGACACTGAAGGCTGCAGCCGGGATGCTGCTTCCCAAACGTACACGCTGAAACCTGGAGCTAGCAGGTGGGGCTTTGGGAGGGGATCAGGTCGCGAGGGTGGGGCACTCATGAGTGACATTCGTGAGCTTACAGAGAGCGTCTGTCACTCTTTCTGCCCCACGAGGACACATTCAAGGTGCAGCCTTTTGTGAACCTGGAAATGGGCCCTCCCTAGACTCTCAGTGGCCAGCACCTTGATCTTGGACTTCCCAGCCCTTGAAGCTGTGAGATAAGCTGTCCAGTCAGTGGCATTTTGTTGTAGCAGCCTGGGCTGACCAAGACCCTGCCTAACCGACTTTGGGGAAGTAGGGAGGAGCAGTTAGGGAGAGTGAGGACCTAGGGGAGGTGTCTTGCATAAGGTGGGCTTGTTCCACCTTCTCCCCGAGGTACAAATCACCCCTGGACTCCACGAACAGGTATTCTGGCAGCGAGTGTTGAGAGAAAGGGACTGGCAGGCAAGTGTTGCAACCCTGGGTGTTGGAGGCAGCCAGCCCCAGGGTCCTGGCGCCCACACAGGGTTGTAGCGCCCAATCTCAGGCAGACCTGGGTTCAGGTCCTGGCTCTGCCACATACTGCAGAGAGCTTTAGTCAGGTCACTTGGTGTGGCCTGGCTTCCTTGCTAACAACTGGGCACCATACTCCAGCCTCAGGGCTGGGCAAATGAATGAAGAAAACAGCCCCCAGCAAAGCAGCCTGAATTAAATAAAAGATCAGAGGGGTCATTGGAGTGAAATCTATGAACCCCAGGAATCTTTGCTATCTGCCTTCAGTGATACACTCACACCCCCCGCAAGAATTCTTTATTAGAACCACAGAATATGAAATACTAGCGTGGACCTCTGTCCTCAGAAACTTGAACTTCACTGAGGTGACAGAGGGCCAAGACCAGAGGGACAGTGCACATCCCAAGGACCTCTGCGCTGTCCAGGGGGACCAGAGATACGGCCGAATTTCCGAGCCCAGAGGCACCAGTGGGGGACCAGGTAAATTTAGCCACACAATGACTGAGACACAGTTGTTCTCGTTATTTGTGTCAGAGAGGCCACAGTGAGCCCTGAGTCAGTGAGTATGGAACCATGGCTTGCAAGGGAAACATAGGGCTGGGCTGCCGCGGCCTCTGGCCCACCAGTCACCCATCTCCATGTTCTCCGTGTGTCTCTGTGCAAAGGGACTTCACTGAGAACGTGAGTCATTCACACTGGACTCTGCTGCAGTACCGGAACTCCTGCCTGACACTTGCGTGTTCCAAGGCCCGACATGGCCGTCTTGAACTTAGAGCTCTAAATAGCTCTTTGACACCTTGCTTGGGGTCATGTGAAGCAGAAAAAAAGCACAAGCAGGTAAAAACCACAGCATGAAACAGACCTGGATGGGCCAGTTGCTTGCAGGGTGACAGCTGGGACGGGAGGGCCAAGCACTACCACGTGAGGCCACACTGGCCTGTTGGTGACGCAGATCCCCATTCTCTGTGCAGGTCTGCGTGGGGCTTGGAAAGCACTATGAATACTGATTTGGGGGCTACACATGCACATTAGCAGCCAGGCAGATTTACAAGCCCTGAATCTTGAAACAACTGGAAGTGTGCCTGGGGAATGAGGACCAACCTGGCTATCAGTCCTGTTCTCAGAGTGTGGCTCCCCTCACCAGGTGGGGCCCTAGGGCCTGCACCCCACTGCTCCCTGCAGAGCCAGGCCAGGTACCAGCTCTCCACCGGCCATGCAGCCTCTGAGGGGACCACTGCCACCTCATCCAGTTCCCGTCGGAGACAGAGGGTATGCTGGGGGAAAGGGGAGGAGGAAATGGGTGGCGGCTGTAGGGGGCCTCCACCTGCCCCCAAACTTGGGGGTGTCCCAAGAGGTGTCACCCAGGCCTCCCTCATGGCGTCAGAGCCAATTGTGAGACCAGGTCACCCACTGCCTCACTCAGTGCCCGGCACGCGGGCACTGTACCTCCACACCCTGTTCATGGAGGAAACAGTGACCAGAGAGGGCAAGAAGCCAGCCTGAGGCCTCACAGAAGACGCAGGACCGAGGGGGACGGGATCTGGCCTCCCTGTTCCCAGACACAGACGCCATCCATGGCCCTGTAAGGCCACAAGAGGCACCATAAACGGCAGAGTCTGGGAAGACACTGAGCATGGCTCACGTTTAACTGCACACCGATGTCCTAAGCATTCGACTCTTCCAGCTCCTCCTATGCGCTAACTCACACAGCACGACCACAACTCTGTGCGTTAGAAATGCCTCCAACCCCGCCGCCGTACAGATGAGGAAACTGAGGTCGAGGCTGACTGGGAGCCCTGATCATGCCGTTCTCACCCTTCCGCCTCTCGAACCCACCCACACGTGCCTACAGCAACACTGAGCCACAGCGGCCACCTTCCCAGGGAGAGGCAGAGCAGGTCCCAGGAGCGCATGGGGCACACCCAGCCCACTCTGCCTCTGCAGGACCCTCCGGGTGAGCCCACTTCTCCATCCTGCTGCCGAGACCTGGTGCGGCATCAGCCTGGCTCCCCCGGGATGGGGCGGGGAGCCTGTCCACAGCTCGATGGTCCACTGCTGACATTTCTCCAAGTGCACAGCAAGGCATCTTAATCTTGTCAAGAGTGAATTTTACTGTCAGTTATAGTTCGCATCAGGGAGAATCCTGTCCCCCAAAAGACATAAAGTCCTAACCCGTAGGACCTCAGAATGTGGCCTTATTTGGAAACAGGATCCTCGTGGATATAATTAGTTCAGATGATGTCATCCTGGAGCAAGGCTGGCCCTAAATCCAACCTGACTGGAGTCCTTTTGAGAACAGGAGAGATACAGACAGGCACAGGGGCGAATACAGCCAGGTGACCATGGAGGACAAGAAGGGAGGGACACAGCTACTCATCAAGGACTGCTGAGGATGGTCCAGGGCCACAGAAGTCAAGATGAGGCAGGAAGGATCCTTTACTGGGGCGTGCACTTGGCCTCCCGAGCTGTGGGAATCAGCTCTGGTTTAAGTGGACTCATCTATGGCACATTGTCACGGCAGCCCAGGAAACCAACTCACAGCTCAATTTGAAAGGTGGGGGCTGCTTGTCACCTGTCCCATTTCTGGACACAGCCCAGAGCCTGTGGCGCCCCATCCTGGCCTGCCCGTTCACCCAGGAACCCCAGACCACTCGCTCGTTCTCACCTCCTGGGAAGATCCTCGTAGGCACCCGCAGCCAGCCAGACCCCGCATCCACCCGACCACCTGTGAGGTCCTGCAGCCGCAGCACCCCATAGGGTACTGGGTCCCCACGAGACAGGGTCGGCAGCATGAGGTGAGAGGGGCTGCAGGACACAGGCTGTGCGCAGGTCCCAGGCCTGGCCGGGACTACAGGGTTCTGCCCTGGCCTGCTGGATTGGACCTCTGGTTTCTGTTCGCAGGCTGTTACCTTCCTCGGCCACCCTGCTTCTCAGGCTCTTCCACGTGCTGCAGGCCACCCAGGTCCTTCCTCCTCCCAAAGCCCACCTGTCCCGAGTCCTCATGCCTCTCCTTGACATTAACTGGTCACATACTCATTTAACAAACACCTACCGAGCTGCAGGCCAGACCCTCCTTTCTCAGCTCACAACTGTCGCTCAGCACAGTGTCCTCTAGCCGGAGCACTCTGGCCAGGACCGGGCTGACTGAGCAGTGACAGCCCCACGCTCTGACAGGCACAGGCAGCCACTGTCCCCGCCTTTCTCTCAGCATGTGAGCTGTGAACAACCCACTTGGCCCCAGCCTGACCCAGCCCTGAGAGAGCTTCTTGCAGGAGGCAGAGGTAGGGCATACAGGCAGGTAAGAGGTCGACCCAGGGATGGAGGTGGGAGGAGAAAGCCGGTGTATGGGTCCCTGAGGCCTGGGCCCACACAGAACCTTGCCAAGAGCCCACTCAGACCTAGTTGTGCGACTGCAGGAAAACCACTTCCCCATGCACGGATACAGGCTCATCTACCAGCAAGGGCTGGCTCAGGAGCCAGGAACTCTGGACAGTGAGCCCTAAGGCTACCGACACTGCACTCGGAGTGAGGGCAAGGCGGCCACCAAGGTGTTTGGCCACCATAGCAGCACAAACCCAGCTGGCACCCGCCAAGTACTCCTCAGAGAGGAGGGCTCGGGAGACAGCAGGAGGCGGCAGCCAGCGAGGACTCAGGCCCTGCTTAGACCCCGCCTGGCCTTCCCTGGACTGCAGCTTCAGAGACCCATGCTCACCTGGGACAGTAGTGGACCCAAAGCTCAGATGGGGAAACTGGGGCTGAGGAAGAGACGGGGTCACCTTGATCAGCAACAACTAGCCAGGTCACAGCATGAGGGTTTGGGAGTCCCGAATACAATCAGAATAAGTATCTGAAGCTTCTAGAGAAACCTAAAACTCAACATGAAAAACCAAAACGCACCTCTTCCTCTTCCCTGCCTCTGACAGGAGGCAGGACTTGCAGGGAGCCATGAAAGTGGCTTAGTTTTTCTGCCACATAAGCTATGGTGCTATGAGCAAGAGACAGAAAAATTTTTGTTAGAGTCAAGTTTGTCTGTAAGCGACAGATAATCTAAAATAACAGTGACTTAAACAAGCTGAATATGTATTCCTCTCATATAAGATTCTGGGTAAGCAGTAAAAAACAGAATAATACTCCAACATACCTGGAATCTTTCTGTATAGCTTCTATTCTTAAATTTATCTCAGAGTCCAATGTAGCTGCTTCAGCTCCAGCTGTTACATCTGCGTTCCAGCCAAGAGAAACGAGGAAGGACATATGTCTCTATTAAAGGGCATCTCTAAGCAAAGTGCACTCTTACCTTAACCTGACTTAATCATATGGCCGTATCTAGCTGCAGGAAATTAGGAAATATTTGGCAAAAACTTATACCCAGCTAAAATTCAGAGGCCTATCAACAAACTACTTTACCAGTAAACTCAAAGATTCTAGGATGGGTGGATGGATGGATGGATGATGAATGGATGAGTGGATGGATGGCAGATAATATGGACAGATGGACAGAAGGGCAGCAGGATGGGTAAGGACGGACCAGGAAGGATTCACTGAGAGAAGAATGCCCAAATACATACTAGATGGGTGTTCTATCAAAAATGTCAAGAACAGAAAGGTGCAAACATAATCAATGTCATCAGGTGCCATCAGCCAAGGCTAAGTCTCTGCTTTGGCTACAACATCCCAGGGAGAGGTACGTGGTCCCTCTCTGACACAGACTGGGGTTAAGCAAACAGGACATGCAGACTGGGGAAAGAGGTACCAGTGAATTCTTTCTTGACAGCTTGGCCTGTGCTCCGAGACCACCAGACTGTGAACGCAGATACAAAGTCCTGTATGCTCACCCGTGTTTATAGCGGCATTATTTGTAATACCTAAAACTTAGAAGCAGCCCAAGTGCCCATCGACTGGACAGAGGATAAAGTAGAAAAGACGGAGTACTACTCAGCCACAAAGAACGAGAAACTAGAGAGATTTATAGCTAAATGGATGCACATTGAGGACATAACTCTTAAGTGAAATAGATAAGTTACACACGCGTACATACTGAATTCTTTCTCTTGTGTGAAAAAAGTACAAGCATAAATAAGGATTAAAATGTACAATTGATATTGTGTAATAGGAAGGAAAGTCTAAAGAGTAGAAGAAGTGGGAGGGGTAGGGGAAAGGTTAAAAAGAGAAAAGAAAAAAATATGTGAAAAGAAAAAAATACGTGAAAAGAAAAAACATGGAAACATTGTCTTCGTAAACAGGGAAGAGTCCTGGAGGGCGTGAGGGGAGGGCTGGGGAATGGGGAAAAATGAGAATCTGATAAGTCGGTAAAGGCACAAGATCCCAATGATGAATGTAACTGTGGTGTGCACCTAATACGTAGCAATACATTTAATAAAGATAAAAAAACAAAACAAAACCAAAAATCCTGTCCCCGGAAGGTGAAGAACACCCTTAATGATGGAGCCCTGGGCAGCCTGCAGAAGTACAGCTCCTCTCTGCTGTCCTCACCCCTTGCCAGCTGGTCGTTCAGAAAACAGGTTCCTACTTCCGTCCCTGACACCTGCAGTCACTGTCATCTCTTAACTTAGGGATAAAAAGTTGTTGTCTTTGCTAAAGACCCCAGAGCCAGTGGTGAAGTGGGGTCACCTTCACGGGGGAGCCTGTCCTGCCTCCCTACTGTTGCCTCCTCTCATGGAACCCCACTGCCCGGGCCGGGGTCACCTTGGTTGTCCAGCCCCAGGGGAGGAGGCAGGACCTGCCCTGGCAGCTGACACATCGCCCGCAAGCACAGGCAAGTCTCTGCCACAGTCCCTCCCTGGGCCATTTCTTCTCACAGGGAACTGACATTTTCAAGCAGGCTGGGTTATCCTGTCAAATGTGTTCAGCTGGGATGGGGGACCCTGGGGATTGTCGGCGAGATGTGCCGAGGGGCTCGGTGGCCACTTTCAGAGCTCCTGGCCCAGTGTCGATTCTTTTCCGAGGCAATTCCCTCTCCAACCCTGGGTCCTGCAAAGGAGATGTACCAGAGGCAGAGGACCCCCTGAGACTGTGTCAGTAAGGCCCAGCACAGGACTCCTGCATAGCACTGCCCTCTGCTCTCCCCCAAGGATACGCTCAGTTTCACTGCCCAGTCCCAGTTACTGTCACCCTTGCTGCACAGGGATGCTTGGCTGTGGGGGCAGCTCTGAGCGAGCAGGTGAGAGGCTGTGGCCTGGCCGGACCCTTCCCCGGACCGAGCTCCTACACTATTCCTCCTACTCCAACGCCAACAGTGCCCCACACAGGACTGCACTCGGGAAGGACACTACAACCTGCCCAAGGGAAACTTTTCCCACACACCGTCCAGAAGCAGTGGCCTAGACCCAAAAACAAAGTGGGCCCCCAAAACAAGGGTTTCTTTTTTTTTAAAGGTCTTCCCCCCCCAAATAAAGTCACTGTAGTTAAAAAGCACTTCCTTCCAGGTGCTGGGTCAGATGGTGACCTAGAGGGCTCCTTTTCGGGCCTCCATTTCTTGGAGAATGCACTCTTATGTTCTGCACTGGCTGTGTCCACTTAGCCATCAGCAAGAAAGGGGGCCTTGTCTGCAGCCGGTGCTTTGATCCTGAACCCCAACACAGGATCCCACTCCTGCTGCCTATGGGCCAGGAATCCAGAGGGTCACCAAAGGTCAGGACTCGAGCTCCCTTCTGAGAGGAGGCTGCTGAGGTCAGACAGCAGGGACTACTTTCCTCCTGGTCAAAGAATCCCAAAACATCAGAAGGATCCCAGAGAATTCTCCAGCCCTGCTGCTGTGCCACTACACACAAGTCCCTAAGCAACTTCCAAATCAGGAGAGGACAGCTTTGCCCAGAAAACACACATGCACACAGCATAGTATTCTTAAATTCCTAGGTCTTAGGGATCCAGAAACCTACATTTAAGCCCCACTGATCCAGCCAGACAGGGGTCTCCAGAATCTGCACATCCAATTAATGTCCCTTCCTCTGGCTGAGGACACAATTTCCAGTCCCAATTCCGAGCGCTGCTTCTCTGAGAAGCACAGAGGACACAGCTGGGAAGGTTCCACCGGCGGACAGAAGGCTATGCGGGTTCTCCATTCACACTGGGGCAGGCTGCTGACCTTAGGGGCGTCACCACCTGATGCAGAGGGGAGTCAGGCTCCTCGCCCGGGTCCCGGCCAGCCCCCGCCTCATAAATACTCCCAGGAGTTCAGGTGCCTCAGACACAAAGTAGAGGTCCGCTCGGAGAGCTGCAGAATGACATTCAGTATCTCAGTCCTCGAGCGTTTGTTGGGTGCCAACTATGTGCAGGACACAGGGATGTGAAAATCAAAGACCTGACTCCTCTCAGGGGAAGTTTATACTCCAAATAGAAAGACCATCATTAAAGGGGTTTTGCTTCCTCTAAAGTTGCTAGGTCAAAAACTGATTCATGCAAAAAGGAGGAATCCCTGTGAGTGGAGGTGGGGATGCTGTGTTCCTGTGGTGCTGCACACCTAGCCTCAGCTACTGGGGAGGCTAAAGCAGGAGGGTCACAAGTTCAAGGCCAGAGGGGCAATGTAGCAAGAACCTGTCTCAAAATAAAAACCTAAAGGGCTGGGTGCAGCTCAGCGGTCAGCACTTTCCCAGTGAGTCCCATCCCCAGTTCCTCCCCTTCACTTCTCCCCCAGAAACGGGGGTGCGATGGAACACAGGTCAACAGAAAGTCTGTGGGCAGAAGGGTGCGTCCAGGACAGGGCCGAATGTGGGGAAGACAGTAAAGAGGAAGCTGTGTGTGGTCTCCTCAGGGACGGTCAGGGGCACAGTGATGGGCTTCCTCAGAGTCCTTAACAGGATGGCACGCAGCTGGGGCTGTGGGACACACGTCCTGAGAGGAAGACCTCTATCTCTTCTTCAAAGGGGCCAGACCCGAGGGTCCCACCCTGTCTACCAGAAGAACCGTGTCACCAAGAGGGCTCTTTCGAGGGTGGAGGGGGTGAATCCACACTAGAAAATTCATTCAATCTGTGCTTCTCACCTCTAGCTGCACTTTTGGGCAAGAACAAGTGCAACTTCCTGCCGCTCAGTATAAACAGCAGGTGCAGGGTAATAGTTACATTGATGGAAAGTTCTAGAATTGGTCATCAGCTCAGCACTAAATAACTCCTTTCTAAGAGCAACCTCCTAACATGGGGCAGTGAGGGAAGGGTAGACAGGAAGTTAAAGGGCTCCTTTTAAGTCCCTAGAGTGGTGAGGACCCCAAGGGTGGGGTCCTGCGGGCAGCCCCCTCACGCCTCCCCTCTCATGGCTGCCTGCCTAGTTCCGCTTGTTTGACACTGTCTAGGTGACACAAACTGAGATGACTCATTGTGACAGGAATGGTGGAAAGTGTCAGAGGGAAGGAGCTGCGACTGTCACCTATTTGTCACTTGATTCTGCTTGGACCCTATGTCTGGGGGACTCTGCAGTCAGCAGAGAGTCCTGTCTGCAAAATGGAGGCCACAGAGAGTGTTGTTGGTGATGGGATGGTCTGAATGGTCTCTCTCAAAAACAGCCAGGAGAGACCAATTCCTGGTGGGATTCCATTCTGATTTCCAGATCTCCAGGGTTAAAATACAGGTACCCTAGTGATCACTAAATAGGGACCCAGGACAAGGAGGCATCAAATGGGCATAGGCGGGTAGGAGGGACTGAGAGGCAAGGGGGTAAAGGCACTGAGACTTCTCCAGTCCCCCGCACTCCTAGTTGCCTCTCAGGGAAGGTGCTGGGATTTCTTGAGGCCTGGGAGTGCAAGCTTGCACTCTCTGCATGGGGAGAGAAGCCTGGAGTCTGTGTTGGGGACAGGGGAAGCTGGGTCTCCAGGCTGAGTGTCAGCCAGGACCGCCTGGGAGCATCAACCCCTGAAAGCAGAGGAGCCCCAGTCAGCAGGCAGAGCTGCAGCTATGAACTTGGGTCCTGAATCCATCCCTAGAAGAGACCCCCCAACTCCTGGTCTGGAG